AACATGAGAAAACATTTTGCTTAAGGTTATTATGGATTTCAGAAAATATAAAGAACTATGGTTTACTGCTTTAAAGTAGTACTTGGTCCAAACTTTATGTTGCTAATGACTGCCTCTTTTCTCCAATGTTTTTTCTTTAGGATTAGCTAAAAGTTACTTGGATGGAATGCTGTAGCATAGGCACACACAGACTGACTTAAATCACTGATGTATGTGGGTTTGGTACTCAAACAAACAGCGAATTCAGGATGTGTTGTATATCCTTAACATAAATTTAGGGCAAAGTTGTCTCTGCTGTCCACAAGGGAAAAAGGAAGAAAATGCTGTGGTCCTGAAATAAGAGAAAATCAAGTCAAATTATCATTCCAAATTCCTATTATAGTGTTGGAACAGCTCTGCATGGCATTTGTATGCACGACAACCTCAGTTTTAGGCTACAGCGAGGACAATTAGTTTGGAAATTTTATGACAGTGGAGAATCCCCAAATGCAGGCAGGCGTACAGTGAAAAGGTTTTACTAAAAAGAGCCACAGGTGGGCTACAGTAGTTACTCTGTTTAATTAAAAACATGAAAGCCAAGTAAACTACAAACCTGTGGAACTGATTACAGTTATTTGGAAGATAAGTGAAACAATGAAAAAGTTTAAAGATTCAGTCCCCAATGGAAATACATTAATGCAGATTTTGAATGGAATCTTATTCTTTGCAGAGATAATAGTCCACACAGACACATCTGTTCATGTACCACTAGGCACTAATTTATTAATGAACATTCATTACAAATTCCTGAAGGAAAAAAAAAAGATGTCTCCCTGTTGTGCTTGAATTCTTTAATTGTCTAGCTGATTTTGTGAAAAAGTCTATCTATAATTCATTCCAGCATTTGATTCTACACTTAAGAACATAATCATATTCAACAAATACCAGAACACAACACCGAAAGGTAGAAAAAACTGAATTAAAATATAACTAATTGAAACGACATACAGTAGAAGATAAATCTACAGTATATTTGAAGAGCAACTTGAAGGTTTTCCACCAGACCAGAGTTCCAGTTCACGCAGACAGCAAAGCTGTGATAAGTATCCTGATTACATCTGAAAAGCACCTTCAAGGGCAAGCTCAACTTGAAACATAGTGAGCATGATTCTTAGGTTAACAAAGCTCCAGACACGCAGGGTAACAAAATTCCAAGTGTGTTCACACAGTCTGTGCCAAGGCTAGACTGCAAGCAGCTGTGAAGAAAGCAGGCAAATAACAGAACACACACGGATACACCCACAGTGTCCATAAAATGAAATAAAATGTTCAAGACTGTGACAAGCAGCAAACTTGAATTATTTGTGATAATTTGTTCTTTCTTATAATTAATAATATCTAAATCCTATAAAATTAATCAACCAATGTCTTTATTGTAGAGGCACTTTATAGTAGAGGCTGTGATCTGCATGGTGACATGGGGAGAAACTGAAGCTGAGGAGCAGAGGACTGAGTTGCTGGATGCCTTGGAGCAGGCTGGGAGCAGAGCTCTGCAGAGAGGCCCCGTCCCAGACTGTCCTTCTGCGCTGCAGCCATGGGGAAGACAACGAAGTACTCATGTGGCCAGGGAGCCTCTGAACCGGGCTGCACACACTCCCTGGCAGAAGGAGAACACTGGGAATGCAGTGATAAATAACATCCAGAAAATAAGTAAGACTCCACAGAAATAATTTGGAAAGCCACAGGCTAGCCCAGAAGGAATACTTTTACAAATCCATTTTCACTACTACAGTAAAAAAAAAAAAAAGTTACAAAACAGCTAATTTTTTAAAGACATCTGCTTTAGAAAAGATTCTGAAAAAGGCAAAACATGTTTTAAAAGATGTTTAGCCTTAAACATTTTGTTTAGGGATAAAATTTATTCTCCGTTAAGAATATTTCTATACGAAAATGCTTCTACTTTTTCCCCCTAATGAAATAATAGAGAAAAAAAGTCTAAAACCTGAATTGGGCAGTCACTTCAGGAGCGAAATGTTACATTTATTTCTCTGGATCTCTGTCCCCTGCTTGCAAAGCTTCTTTTTCCACAGAAACATGGTCTACTTGAGATCTACTTGAGATTCAAGATGCTCCCTGCACATGGTGGCATACCATAGACCAGATAAAGATATCTATCTTTAATAATATTTATCTCCCTGAATGTCTTTTCAGTTTGACCTCTCCTCCCTGCTGCTTGGCCAATCTCCACTCCCTTTTCACTGTCAAGTCTACCATGCCGGGAGAAAGAAAATAACTATGTTGAGGAGGTGGAGATAGTAATTTCTTTGAAAATTGGAACTCTTTGATGTCCTTATACAAAAGCTACAAAACTGGTTCTCCCAATGGTCTTCTGTTATGAAAAGACAGCTTTCCAAATGTGCTCTTGCTTTAAAAACAGCCACACAAGGACATTAATTTATTACTGCCTTACTAAGGATAGGTTAAAGGTTGTGAGAGAAAGCAATAAAAAGAAGGGAAATCATAAACAGGACTGAAATGTTCCAGATGCTTTTTTAAATTAAGCACAACAAGGTGCCAGTTGAGCAGCTGTTTAATGTATTGTTTTGTACTTTGGTATTGTAGGACACACAAGGTAAATTTCAGCTGCAGGTGAAATTTCATTAGTTTTATTTTACCTCATTAATATTTTTCTTTGCAGGTTTACTTGTAGACATAAATGACCTCAAAGAATGTATGTGACTTCAAATGTACCTAAATTCACTGATAATGCTAAGTTGGGCTTAACCACTTAAATAGATAGGAGAACCAAGTTTTTGAAAATTGTATCAGACTGGATTAGGCTCAAAACATTGCTCATATAGCTCATTATTGAGAAGCGTAAGGTAATAAGACTAGGTTTTAGGAACAATCACATTTTATAGGCTAAAATGATATATGGTTCAGAACCTGAAACAGAGGTACAATTTAAGAGAATCTGATGGAAATTAGAACTGTACTTTTACAATTTTACATGTTTACTTCCAGGTCTTTCCAGTTCTTTTGAAAACACATGAAGAACATGGATCAAAATCAATTTCTATAAATATGATCAAAGACTAAGTATGAAAAGAAAACACTGGATCTAGAAGCTTAGTTATTCATTTAGTTTTCTTTCACTGGCTGAAGCAATTTCCAGATTCATTTGAAATGGTACAATCTGTTACAGCAGCAGCAAGATTTCCCCTCAAACAAGTGCAAAGGGCTTGACCCTTCAAAGGTCATTGCGTAGTTTGATGCAGCAAAAGGAGGGAACACTTCTAGTTTACTCATGATAATTTCAAACTAACTTCTGATTCTTCATGCTGAACATTTAGTACGAAGGTAGAAAAAGATCCACTGTGCTTGGAAATTGCTATTATTTGTACTGCCCCTCTTAAAAGTCCTTGTCATGAACCAGACTCACTTTGTTATGCCCTAGATAAACACCTGTGTAAACTGCAAATGTTCTATTAAAAATATTTAACTGTGTACTTTTCAGTGATGAGGAAGGTCTGGAGATAACTCACTTGTTTACCAAATAGGAAAAGCTGCTGCTGCAATACTGCCCGTGTCTCTGAGTGACGTTGCAAGAGACAGATGAAATGAGGGCAGGAGGTCCTGCTATCTCTCCCTCCTTCTGACCCTGTTTTCTGTCAACCATCCTGCCCAGAGGCTCTCCCTCCCTGCTTTGCTCTGGCCCCTCTCCTGAATATTCAATTCACTTGGTTGTTAGTGCTGGGTGTGGAAAATTGTTCCATTGCCTCAGGCCACACTGCACTCTGTCTGTTTTCCAGGTTTTGTGTGCGAGAGTTTGTATGCACCAAATAAATGTGACGTTGCACAGTACTGGAGAATATATGGCAATATTACACCTCCTGATAAAAAAGATTAACCTTTTTAAGCACAAGGGTCTCAAGTATTAGTGCTTCTGCTAGGCTGTTTACATAATATTTATAAAGTGAAATAAATTTGTTAACCCATTTCTGCTAATGTAGAAATGCTGTCTGCCCTTCCTATATGTTAGTTATTCATCCAAGAGAACATTTTATTGTTATTATCTTATTTGGATATTTTTAAATATGAGAAATGTTCTATGAAGGTCACTACTTACTTAATTTAATTGGAAGAGTGGCAAGAATGTAAACAAACAAAAGCACAAACTTAGTTACATTAGGATGGATCCTTCAACCGCTTCTGCTGTTTGGAGAACGGATCTTAAAAAGAAAAGGGATAAAACTCATTTGTTTTATAACCAGGCCAAACCCTAAAGATATTAAATGTGATTAATTCTATTAAGTGATCTAAATTCAACCCTGCTGCATTTCTAGTAATCAAGAAAATAAAATAAGTCTTTTATATTTCTTTTTGGGGTTGATGGAAGGCATTCTAGAATGTTATACTTAAAGGCAGTTACCCATGACAAAAATAGTCAAGAAAGAAAATGCAAAGACAAAAATAAATGAATAGTTTCTAAAAAAGCAAAGAAAAATACTCCTCAAAAGCCTAACTGAGCTTCTCTTTGTTATCCTTGTTATGTGATTAGGCAACTCTGTTCTTCATGCCATTTCATGGAAATTTCCATTTGTTTGGCCAATGCAGAAAAATTTACTTACAGATACAGCACTCCCACTGCTCTGAAGTATTCTGACTAGTACAGACAACATACACTGAAAACAGATTTAAAAGTACGGTATACAAAGTCCAAGTGGGTCCTGTTTCTGAACTGATGCTGCAGTTAAAGTACGCTCAATTTCCCTTGCAGTAGAGATTCAGTTTATGTACTTCGTAGCTTCAAACATTCTTTTCAAATCACATCCTTTCAAAAGAAACCTTGCTTGTACCAAGATGCAACAAAAGGACGAGGTCTCTCCAGGTGTTTAGACTGGATCCTCTCCTCTTTGCTGTAAGAGTCAGTGGCTCCTTGTCCCTGCCCACCTTCCTAGCCCCGTTTGTGCCCAGCCTGAGTCCGTCCACCCGCCCTGGCAGCGATGCCAGCTCGAGCGATGCCGCCCGCGCGGCTGCCCCGGAGCAGCCGTCCTGTCCTCCTTCTCCTTCTCACGGATGCTGAACGTCCCCTGGCTTCTCCGAACACCGCAGCCGGAGGTACTCCCATCTGCACACCCACAGGTCTGTACGGGCTCCGTGCACGCTCTCAGGGCTTCTTGTTCGCTCCGGTGTGATGGAAACACAGTGTGATTTATGTGGCTGGTGGAAAGAATTTTCAATTATGACAAACATGGAGAGAAAGAAACAAGAAAAAAGAGGCTCTGATTTTTGCAGGGTTTCCCATGTCTCCCATGCTCAGAATATATTTCAGTTTGATAAACTTTACCATGCACGTTGATATTTATTAGAAGAGAATATGAATAAGATTAGGATAAACATTTGCTGTGACAGGTGTTTAGAGTCATGTAAATCCAGGTGAGTTCTGCTTTTATAATTTAAGACAAGATTATGTGCCTGAATACACAACTTACATTAAATCATCCAGACTTGTTGCATGGTGACCTATCACCATTTTGAATAGCTTGGAGGGGATCTGACAAATTGTCTCAGAGCATAGCACAAATAGGCAAACATCTATAGGATGCATCTGCAAGTGATTCAGTGCATAATGCATCAAGATATGGCCCATTTAATCTAAAATATTGGCAGCTTTATATTTTGAAAAAAATGTGGAGAAGGATCAAATACATATACTTTTAGAGATTCATTATTATATCTAAAAAAGGGGGCAAACAGAAGATAAACTTTGCAATATGAAAGAACTGCTGCAGAACTTTCAAAATGAAACAAGTACACACTTCTTCAAAGACTAGTAAAAAGTTTTGAATAAAAATTGAAGAATTCAGACTGAACATAGTATCATTATCCTATAAAATAATGACAAAACCTGGTAAGTAAAAGCAATCAGTGGTTTTCCTTCTCCCATTTGTAAAACAATAACACAATTGGCTGGTGAAATAAAGAGTTCAGTTCCAGTGGATTTTCATTTTGAGATAACTATTAGCCATTTTAATTATAATATTTTCATAAAATTGTTTTATCATAAAATTTAAATAGCTTTTTTAGTTATTTTACTTCATAAACAAGTGTTCATGCAACAAAAACAGAAGAAAACAGCACACATAACACAAGAGCCAAATTATAAACAACAAAGCGAAGAGTGGACGATTTTCTTCAATAATGAAGAAGGAGCAGTTTTGGATTACTGCGATTTCGCAGCAAGATTAGGCCCATCAGTCCTGCTCACTAAGCCTGACCTTCCTGCGCCTGCAGTCTGTGATGACAAAGGTCTAGTTGCATCACAACACTCAGAAAACCGCAGTGGCAAAATACGTAGTCTGTCTATCCTGACCCTAATGCAATCAGCAAAAGTGTGGAAGGCCCAGAAAAGTTTATCCCAGCATGAGAAGTATGTTGTACCCTGCCTATTGAGGGGTGCCTCTTGTGCACAGGCTGCTGCCTGAAACTGTAGGAGAGCTGGTGTACACACACAGGCAAGGGGAAGGGGGAAGGGAAGACTGGAGCTCTGAGAGACTCCCTGTACTATTTTCTGAGCCTAGTATGCGTGGATAGTTGCTTGAACATCTGGAAAGCAGAGCGTTTTCCAGAGGCATCTAAGTATGCTTGCTTATTAGTTGCACTTCATGTCATTTAGGCTGCCTGAAGGTAACACAGCACATGGTTGCTCCTCAGCATCACCCAGATGCAGAGGGTAAGCAGCACATGCCATGCTCTTGCCCCTCCAGATCCAGAAGAGATACAGCATGGGAAGCTATCCCAAGAGTGCTACCGTGTCGTCTGTGGTGAAGAGGCAGATGAGGGAGGGATTGCATCATGTGTGCACGTTTATTCTAGCTGCTCTGGACAAGATCCGGTGGCAGGGTCCTGCAGCATGATTTAACTGGCAGCTAAGAAGAGGCACCTCTCAGTAGCTGGTGTCTGCTGCAGCTGCTGGCAGGCTACCAGCAGAAATGCTCTGAGACTTTGTGCTCCTCCTCGCACAAGGCAGGTTCCCACACATCCCATGTGGCTCTGTGACCTACCTGTGACAGCAAGAGGTTGCCCCTTACATACATGTGTTCCAGACTATTCCACTCTGCCTCCTGAATACTGAGCATTCATTCATCAGAGGATGAGAACTTCTGGACTGGAATTCACCAGTAGGCCTGACAGTGCTAGCAATGATGACAGCAACATGTACAGAATTCCTCCAACCACTGCTGAGGTGCGCTTGCTAGAATCTAACACATCAGAGTAGGCGAGAGGAGTCCTAAAGTGCAGCCCCTGGAGTCTCAGTCCTTGGTCATCATTTGGGAGGTTCTACAGTGCCTCCTTTTAAAAAATAGTTCAGCACATCTTTGTACAGATAAATATGCTGATCTGTGTTGAATCCATAGTTCAGACCCTTGATCTCAGCAAAGGCCATCTGTAACTTTTTTAGTATGTGCTGGTATGCATGCTCTGAAATTCTGCCATTTTCACTCATTTGGAAGTCTTCCAATAACTAGACCCCCTCTAGTACCCTTGATTCTGATCCACGTCCTCGAGGAAGAAGAGGTCACAGCTCATGACATGTTATTCTTTGTGAAAGGGGCTGCTTTGCAGTGGACTGTAAGCACGACGATGCTAAAGCACAGCCCACTTGTATGAAATAGTGAAAGCAGGGAATGTGGTAGGCAGAAGACTAAGGACAGTGTAAGAGAAGCTTACAGATCAAAAATGCCCAAATGGTAGTCTCATTTAAAACAGTGCAAGGAAATGTTCCCTTGAAGTTGCTGAATTATGTCACAGAATTACTTAGAAATACTACTAGAAATAACGTACTTCTAGAAATAGGCCAAATCTGTGCCAGGAAAAATAACAAAAGTTTATTACCATAGATTACTGTATCCAACTGCTGGGAAAAGTTTCCCAAAATACTGGGCTTTGAAGGAAAAGGGCAGTCAAAGCTAACTTGACACTGAATGCTATCAAGGGACATGGGATCACTCTGTGAATAAACTGAAGTATAGTCACACAGGAGCCTTGGACTAATACATTATTTCAGCATTGTTTAGATCATTTATGAAAATATAGAGTGGATTAACTAAAAGTACTGCTAAATACCCTGAAATCTGCAGGTTTAGAATGAGATACACACAAAAATGATGAAAAAAGAAAAAAAAAAACACAAAACACCAATGAAAAAATGGCTAAATCTGAGCCCAGGACACAGAAAGACATCCAGCCTTCAGCAAGAGGAATAAAGAAGCATTCTCCCTCCTCCGTGAAACCTGCCTTCCGGGCACCCTTTTTCCTCAGCTGAAGAGGAGCTCTAATGCTCCTGAGAGTCCGTTACACAGAGGGAGTAAAAAGGAAGAAGCTGTGGGCACCCTCTGACCACAGACTCTATCCTAGTCCTGAGGAACCCTGAATCCTGACTTGGTATTCTCACATTCTCCCTTTTCCAAACCTTAATTGTAGTCCATTTGAAGTGAAAGGGCATTTTGAGCTTTTTTCATCATTGAGTGCATATGTCTTGATAGTTCATTTGGTTTCTGAATTACGATCCATTTGTTATACTCCAAGATTTTTTTTTTGTGAACTTTTCCTGTTATTCTGCGCTTTATCACTTGACAAAAATAGACCTAGTGGAATTTGCTTATCATGTTTTCTCCATGTAGTCTCCATTTTGCCATACATATGACTAAATGTTTATGAATATGCTGACCTCCACTACTGATCCTGTTTCTCAGTGTGATCCTGAACCTAATGTATTTTTAATAATTTAAAGTACCCAATGGTAATTTGGTAAGATTAGGATTTAAGAAAGGCTTAACTACATGTTGTGGCCTTCTCGTGTCCGCTACAATTGTAAACTTTAAAATAGCTGTAGGTTTAATAATGATCACTTCCATTACACCCCTCAGAAACTGGATCAAGCCACCTGCCAAAAAGAAAGTGTTAAGCATCATGAACTCCTAATTACACTAATTGTGTGGGTCTCTTATTGTTCAGTAACCACTGTTCCATCATTCTTCCACTAGCTTTATATGGTATTTTATACCATATACCATTTTATAGGGTATTCCTAACTCTGGCTGAAACTCTTACTAAGTACATGATGTCTGAGTTTATGGCATAGTTTGTTTAGTTTTGAAGTAAAGCAAAGCTAAAGAGAGAATAACAACAAATGGAATGAAAGTCAGAATTAACTTCCTCCAAAAAAACCTGATTTCTCTTTCGATTTAGAATCAAATTCTGAAGAAAAAAAAAAGGAAAAAAGAAGAGGTTAAAAGGGTATGTTTGACAGAACTGACCTCTAATAAAAAGAAAAAAAAAGGACAACAAAAAAAAGAACATATTCTTTCATGCTCTGTTAAACTAATTTCTGTGAATGATCTGCATGATCAAGTTGCTTATGACTTACATGCAAAAGAACCCCAAGAATGGTCTGAATTACTCAATCTAGCTGAATACAGCCAGAGTCATTCTGAGCACCAGTATATGTAAGCGGCTAACTCCAGTAAAACTAAAGATGTTCATATCTTCAGTATCCATCCTACCATTCTTGATTTTCTAAATCATTAGTGTCCAGATTTAATATGTAACACATATCAGAACACAAAAGAATTTGTTTTATAATTGCTTGAGAGATATTAGGCAAACATCGCTCATAAAAATGAGAATAAATTTGTAGTCATGTTTAGATCCATATCATAGACATTAATTTGTTATGTTACCCATAATAAATTCAGTGCAAAGAAAATACATTCAGCAGCAGCAATAACCTTCAGCATTGCTAGTAAAAATGTATTTAAAAGGAAAATAATGACTAAAGCATTCCTGTTTTCCATTTCTTTATCCACAGAACAAGAGCAAAACCAGATGAAAGACAGAAGTCATTTTCTATATTTGGAGGAATAGATACTGGTGGAAGGTTTGACCTCTCTTTTACATTTCCATCCATGGAAGTCCATCTTATTTACAAGTACTGAATGGGTCTTTCTTTATTACCTACTTTCTTGGTAAAGAGTTCTTGAAAACTGGACAAAAAGCAAAATAAATAGTCAAGATAACCGCAATTTATTAAGCAAGACCTATAAAACCTACAAAAGTAACTTGGGTCAATGCAAGATGCTATTTATCATGTCATAAAGTCACTCTATCTGGATAACATCCAGAAGTC